ATGCCAGCTTCACAGGTCAAGGCTTAGCTTGCTATGCCACAGTGCTAGCTCCCCCCTCCCTTTTTTTAAAGATTCATTTATTTGAAAGGCAGTTTCAGAAAGAAAGAGAAAGAATCTTCCATCTGCTGGTTCACTGTTCAAATGGCTCCAACAGCCAGGGCTGGGCCAAGCAGAAGCCAGGAACTTTCATTGGGATCACCCACGTGGGTAGCAGAGGCCCATGTACTTGGGCCACTACCTACCCTGCTGCCTTCCCACATACATTGAGTTGGCCCAGAAGCCGAGCAGATGGGACTCAGACAAGCACTCTGCTATGGGAAGCCCTGCAAAAGGCCAGCCCCTATACTTTCTCATCCTGCTAACTGGCCAACTGGGGAGCAGCGTATCTGGAGCTGGTCTACCTTTCTCTGGGTGGTCACTCTGATAAACATGTGTCAGCTCTTCTCCCTGGTGTGCTGTCTGTCCAGTGTCAAGCAGCCAGTGTTTAATTTTGCTCTGGTAATATGCTGGTAATACAGGACCCAAGGATTCCTGAATAAAGGAACTACACAGGACATGAGGCCAACGAGGCAATGGGCTCTGTGTGCTTCCCCTGCTGCTGGCAAAGAAGGAAGAGCTGCGTTGGGTCACCCACCATCCTAAAAGGGTCTCAATTCACCCAAGTTGCTCAATCCTTGAAACTCCTAAAACCCACCGAAACCCCATTGTTCCATAATCTTCTCGACTTCCCAAGTCCCTGAAGACCTAGTGCTGGCCAGGTCAGCAGTGGACCACCATGGTGGCCTTGGCAGCTCAGCTGAAGTCTGCTGACCCCAATCCTGACATGAAGTCAAATCCACACTTAGAATTTGGCAAACTGCATGCAGATGCCAATGGTAGGAGGGCATCATGATAGGATCATCAGGATCAAAAAGAAGCCGGGACACCCTAAGAGAGGCAGAGTGTCATCACTGAGGCTCCTTGACCCAACTCTAAAAAAGAAAGGGGCCCAAAAAGACTTTTTCTAAAAAGGCCAGAGGAGGATCTGGCTCAGGAAGGAGACACAGGCCTTGGTACAATACAGAGAGGATCCTGGTCTGGAAGCAAAGGGCTGTGCTCCCAGCCAGCAAAGGATTTCTGGTAGGAATGGGCAGGTTGCTCTCCATGCCACAGAGATTCCTGTTCCCTAGGGGCTGCACAGACTACCTCAGGGCCCCTTCTGGAGTTCACTGTCAAGAGAAATGTGGGGAACCAATTATGGTGAAGTTTGTAAAACTCTAAGAATATGAGGCCAGCAACGTGATGCAGCAGGCTAAGCCTCTGCACTTGGCACTAGCATCCCATGGGCGCTGGTTCATGTCCAGCTGCTCCACTTCCCATCCAGCTCCCTGCCTGTGGCCTGGGAAAGCAGCCGAAAGCCTTGGGACCCTGCACCTACATGGGAGAGCTGGAAGAGACTCCTCGTTCCTGGCTTCAGATCGGCTCAGCTCAGTTATGGCGGTTACAGCAAAAACAACAGATGGAAGATGTCTGTCTTTCCTTCTCTGGGTAATTCTACTCTACCTTTCAAATAAAAATAAATACATCTTTTAAAAAACCTCTGTGAATACACTAATAGCCACCAACTGTGTACTTTAAGTGGGTGAATCCACAGAAATGGTATATACACATTGGTACAGGAGACCAATCAAGCAATCAACATTTATGAAAATCTTTTTAGATTTTCTTCTCGATTCCTTTCTGAACAGACTGGCAAATGTCAAGCCAACATGCAAGAGTCAGTAAAAACTTCACAGTTCATGCAACAAAGAGCACACATTAGCAACAATTTGCTGTGGTTCAGAGGCTTGTCCCCTGAGTCCAGTTGTCAATGGAAATAAAAAATTATTTACTTATTATAAGGAGTATTTATTGATCAAAAAGACAGATTCACTCACCATAAATACCATATAAATTTTGGCTCCTGCAAACGGTAAAAGCACTACTTTACACTGCTGCCCTGCAGATGAGGTTGGATGACGTGCATTAGCACTTAGCCAAGTCGAGGCTGCGGCAAGCATTCACAAGCGGCCTGCGTCAGTGAAAGGTGCCAATGCCGGGCCTCTCTCCAGCCCCGGGTCCCACAGGACTGTCCGAGCCTCATACAGAGCTGGGCTCCTCCGGCCAGTGGTATGGTCCCTCTTGGCACCCATTGTCTTAAGAATTAAATCATCGTCATCCAGCTGTTCACTCCCCAGGGCCAGCTCACAGCTCACCCATGGTAAACAACCAAGGGACACTTGGGGCTTTTGTTTCAACAGAAAAAGGGAGGCCAAGGTCAACTGTAGAATCCTGATGGCCAGGCTCAGGGATTTGAGCTCTATACTGGGGCACCAACTGGAAAGAAGGATCTAGACAGACCAATCATTTAACAGTGTAGGCTGGACTAACTGGAGGTGGAAGATTATAACTAGGACGCAAGACCTAATTGGGTTCGACCAGCAGAATACTGGGTTGTCCAAAACAGGTGCTGAACAAAGACAGGCCCAGGTCTGTAGTTCAGAGATGAACAACTCTCAGGGTTTAGTGATGGGTTTGACGGAAGAGACCCAAAGGGCAGAGGGTAGGCAGTTGCTCTAACAGTTAACTTGCTGGCTGTGATGCCTGTGTCCCATACTGGCATGCCTGGGGTTCCAGTGCCCCATTGCATCTTTCCAGCAATGCAAAACCTGGGAGGAAGAAGCGATGGTTCAAGGAGTTGGGTTCCTGCCTGCCATGCAGGTCTAGATTGAGTCTCCAGCTCCTAGCTTCAGCCCCACAGGCAGTGCAGACACTTGAGGAATGAACTAGTAATGGCAGTACTCTGTGTGTGTGTGTGTGTGTGTGTGTGCGCATGTGCATACACATGCATGCGTGTGTCTTACATTCTGTCTGGATCTTTCAAATAACTAGATCCACAATAGTAAAAGCAACCAGAGGATGGTTCACAGGCAGACACAGCTGACAGCTGGGAGTTTTGCTTATAAAAGACGAGAGAAAATTGTTAAGAAAGCTGAATTTCTTATTTTAAAGATTTGAATGGCAGGGTTACAGAACAAGCAAGAGAAAGAGGCAAGGAAGGAGGGAAGGAGAAAGGCTGCAGGAGGGAGAGAGGGAGAGAGACAGACAGACAGTGCTTACACCTGCTGGTTCACTACCTGAAAAGCTGCAGTGGCTATGGCTGGGCCAGGCTGAGGCCGGCAGCCTGGATCTCCACCTAGGTCTCCTGTATGGGTGCTGCTGCTTTCCCAGAGATGTTAGCAAAGAGCTGCATCAGAAGTGGAACAGCCAAGACGAACCAGAGCCCATGTGTGATGCTAGAATCTCAGGCGGCAGCTTTTACCCACTGTGCCACAGCACTGGCAGCACTGAATTTCAGGATCACAGGATGTTGGGAACCAGCAACTGGAGAAGAGGCTGACACCAAAACCGTGCAGGTAGGCCTGGCACAATGGCTAAGTGGCTAAATCCTTGCCTTCCATGCACTGGGATCCCATATGGGCACCGGTTTATGTCCTGGCTGCTCTACTTCCCATCCAGCTTCTTGTTTGTGGCCTGGGAAAGCAGTAGAAGATGGTCCAAAGCCTTGGGACCCTGCACCCATGTGGGAGACCCAGAGGAAATTCTCGGCTCCTGGCTTCAGATTAGCTTAGCTTTGGCCATTTCAGACACTTGGGGAGTACACCAGCAGATGGAAGATCTTTCTCTTTCCATCTCTCTGTATATATGCCTTCCCAATAAAAATAAATAGATCTAAACAAATAAATAAATAAAACCAGCGAGGTGTGCGACATCCTGTGCAGGACAGAAAACATGCTTCAGAAACAAGGATGACCTCTGGGGCCAGTGGCATAGCCAAAGGCCAGAGCCCTGGCAAGACTGGGAGGCTTTCTGGGGGCCCATGGCACAGCCCAAAGTGAGAGCCCAGGCAAGCCTGGCAGGAAGCAGGAGGTGGCAGAGCAGAACCAGGGAGCTAGGGAGGGAGGGAGTAGGCTGCCCACGAGCCCAGGGAGATGGGGGATCTGTAGGTGCCAGGGCCCTGCGGCTGCACATGAAACCCTCAGCCAGGCCTCAGGGCAGCCTGCGCATGTTAGCACCTAGGTCCTGCTGGCGGAGATCATGTACTTTCCATAGCAGAAAAGGAAAGCTTTCTAGAGGAGAAGGGCCATGGAGAGCATGCGTCCTAAAGCTATGACGGAGAGGCCAGGGGGATAGCGGGGGGAAGAAGGGGAATCAAGGAGGAGGCAGGACAAGGAGGCAAGGAAGCTTGAACACACATTCCCTTAAAGTCACTATCCGGAAGAGAAGCTGCTGGCTGAGAAGGAGTGGGCCGGGTACATGATGTTCCATGATGGAACATCCTGGGAATTTCCCCAGCCCCAAGAACACCCAACTGCTACAAGCTGACACTTGGTGCTGCAGGGTGGCCCCAGGACCGTCCTGACTCGCTTCAGTCCCAGGGAATGTCTGACCCCAGGCCCATTGCTCAAACAGGGCGGCCAACTCCCCAGCAAGGCTGAGTAAGGTGCCTTGCAGACCCTGTGCGGAGCGAAGCTGCTCTACGACAGAGCCTGCCAACCCCCTGTCCACTCCCTCTGCACCAGGATGATGTGGCTTCACATGTCACTGTGCAATGACTCCTTTTGTTTCTTTTCAACCCTACAAGGCGAGCTTCTTCAGGCAAGACTTCTCAGTCTGTCCCAGAATCTAGCACAGTGCCTGGTACACAGCTCAGTGAACAGCCCTGTGTAGTGCTGCCTCACCGCACGCCTTCACCTAGAACCCTCTGCCCACACCTACCAAGATCAACTGTTAAATCAATCGGCTCACTCAGTCTTTTCAGAGACACACATGATGATTTTAGGGGTCAATTCAAGCTACCGCACTCACGGTGGGCTCACTTCCTCATCTGTACAATGGTGTCCAGCACAGTGCCCAGGAGCCCTGAGCGCTGCTGCCCCCTTCCTCGTGTGGCTGTATAAAGGCACTGACCTCTTACTTACCTTGCCTATCCTGATGCATGAATTTATAGTATCCAGCAAGTCGGCCTTTTTTTCGTTTATAGGCACTTCTGCTAATTCCTTTCCTATTAATTCACCCGACTGATAACCCATTGTTGTTTCAAATGCAGGATTTGCGTACTGGAGCGAGACAAAAGGGGAAAAAAGACACCAAGTGAATTAACAGGCATTTTCAAGAGAAGAGTCTTCTACTTCCAGCCTCCTGTTTTCTCCCCAGAATGCTCAGGACCTTAGACCTGTCCCAGGTTGTGAGGGCTGAAGAGCACAGGTGCAGGATTCCAGACCTTTCTATCACATCCTCCAGAGCCCCACCCCCACTTAACCAGTTTGCCTGGGGTAGAGCACAGCTTCTAGAGCAGCACCATTTAGACGGTGGGGCACGGAACCCAACAGCGGACCAGGAAGGGGCTTTCTATGGCAGGTGCTACCTCCGCTCTCTGTCCCTGCACACACGGTCTCACCTCCACCAAGTCTCTGAACCCCTCCCAGGCCCAGGCTGAGTCTCTGGGCAACGGGAAGAACGGGTCCTTTGGCCTCTCCCATCGGGTTCAAGTGAGTGGTGCACGCACACAGGCTATGAACCAAGGAGTGTGACTAAAAAAAGGCACTGTGGCTGCGTTTCAAAGAGGCCTCTAAGACAAGGAGAGACGCAAAGGAAAGCCGAGTGGCAGCAGCCCCTGCCAAGGGCCCTGGTCCTTGCTGGGCACCAGCTCAGTCACCCCTCAGAACCTGCTTACAAGAGGCAGCTAGCTGTTGCTATTCGTGCCATTGCCGTTTATAGGGATGGGAGGGCAGTCAGCTGGATTAAGTGCCGGGACCCCAGCTGCTTGACTGAGGCCAATGGGAACCAAAGCCCCCCACCCCCACCCAGACCGTGGGCCTGAGTGTCCTCCCAGGGCACTGACAAGTCTGCACCAAGGGAGGCCCAGGGCAGACTCCAGGGCCGGAGTGCCCAGCAGGAAAAGCAAAGGAGAGCTCATTCTCAGACAGAAGCTGCAGGTCTGACACTGTTCTCTTTTCTGCTGTCACCTAAACGTGCAAGCCACCTTGTCTTAGTCAAACCCACTCCACTAGCAACCTGTCATGTATACAGTAACTCTGAAGCCTATTTTTTTTTTTAAGCTGGTTTGCTTTTGATGAATGTCAGCAAATGTACACCGTCTTCAAGAGCGGTGAGAAAGGCCTGCAGACCTGGTCCAGGTTCTCCCTCTCCTGCAAGAGCTGCCCCTCCTACGGTGAAAAGCTTCCAATAGCAGTGAGACTCACACAGCGTGCAGCAAACCCCGGTCCCACCCTCTGGAAAGTGGGATGACAAAAGTAGACGCAGACAAAAGACTGGGCGCAAATGGCACCTAACCCATTGGAATCCTCCGTATACCCCATGGTGATATGTTAGCATCCATGAGAATTTACAATTGCCATGACAACTGATGGAAGCCTAGAGGAAAATAAAGGGGTGGATCCTGAAGTCCTGGGATTCGCCACCCCTTTCCCAGAAGCAGCGTGAATGTTCTGCCCGGATATTAACACAGATTTCCTGGACCCTGTAAATGTAAAAATTGAAATATACAAGAAGGCTGCCCTGTCTTTGTTGTGTTTTTTTTTTTTTCCAAATAATCTCAGTGGCTTTTTCAAATTTTTTATTTAAAATTTTGAATTTCATGATACAATTCTATAGTCTGGGATTTCTCCCTGCCCCCGCCAATTCTTTCGTTTTGTTTTAAAAACAAAGCTCTCTTGCTGGAGCTGGCATTGTGGCACAGGGGATTAGCCCACCAGCTGAGAGGCCAGCATCCTAATCAGGTACTGGTTTGAGTCCCAGCTGCTCCACTTCTGATCCAGTTCCCTGCTAATGCACCTGGGGAAAGCAGTAGAGGATGGCCTGAGTGCTTGACCCCCGCCACTCATGTGGGAGGCCCAAATGGTGTTTCTGGCACCTGGCTTCAGCATGGCCAAGACCCAGCTGCTGAGGCCATTTGGAGAGTGACCCGACAGAGGCAAGATTCATTCTCTCACTCTCTGTATGTACATCTCTGCCTTCGTCTCTCTATCACTCTTTCAAATAAGTAAATCTAAAGAAAAAAAAAAAAAGACAAACCCTTCTGCTTGGACTGCTCTGCCTCGTGACTGAGTCTACCCCCTCACCAAAGCCAGGGTCCTCCCGCCGTGGGCCACACTGGGTTCCCAGCTGTGCAGTATCAGAATAATGAATGTAAGTGTGGTGTTTCTACAGACATTTTTAATACCTCAAATTATGGTTAGTACCTTTTCTTAATAAAGATGATCTATCTTGGTTAATTTTTTCTAGTAAATTCTCTAAGGAAAGCCTGGTTTGTAGAACTTGAAAAAGTCCTACGGTTGGGTAGGGGGAGGTTCAATCCTAAAAACACAAGCCCACTCACAACAAGAAATCTGAAAGGACACATTTCCAGATGACAAACCTGTATAATGTGGTCTTCACTTGTGATTTCAATGGCTTCTTGGCTTTTCTCTAACGCAGTGAATATTGAGTTACAAGCCCTTGGTGGGTAGAAACAAAAGGACCGATTAATGCTATATATACCACACACTCTAAACTTTCTCGTTACTGTGAGGGAGCAGCGGGTCATGGAACCACCGGTCAGGGTCAAACCTCAGCTCTTCAGCAGCTGTGATGCCCGGACAAGTGACCAAGCTCCCATCCTTCCTCTCTATTTTGGGTAAGACTGTGAGGACTATGTGAGAGTCAAAAACCCACAATGTATTTTGCACACAATTGGGATCCTCACGAATGATGTGCTAGCTTTGTGCTCCACTTTCCTACTTGGGTGGCACTGTGGGCACTTTCCCATACATACCCTTGGGGTCTGACAACACTTTCTAGCTACACAAGTAACAAAATCTATTGTGAAATGTTAGAAAGTACACATAAACAAAAATTAAAACTATCATATCCCCCCAGGATAATTGAAAAGACAGGTTACACAACTGCATATGGCAGCTGCCTGGTGAGAGGGTTAAATGGTGCAGTCCCTTTCTGGAGAAAGCCAGGAGTTGATGGAATGGTCAAGCACAGCAGGAGTGACAGCAAGTCCCTCTAGCAGCATTATTCACCACTGCCAGAAAGTATAAAACAACCCAAATGTCCCTCAACTGACTAATGCAGGGTTAAACCCACATATCATACAGTACAGACACAGCAAGGCAGTAGAATCACGGGGTTTATACCATCAGTTGGGTGGACCCTGAAAACATGCTCCTGAGTGCTAAAAGAAGCCAGTTACAGAGGCCCTGGCATTGCAGGACCCCAGTTACAGGAAATGTGCAGAAGAATAAAATCTACAGAGACAGGAAGTAGATTAGCAGATACCTAGGGCTGGGGGCAGCAAAAACATTCTAAAATTGTGATGATGGGTGTCGAACTCTGCAAAAGTTATTAAACTACATACTTTAAATAAGTTAACTGCATGACGTGTGAACTATACCTCAATTAGTCTGTTTCAAAATAAATGAGATTTGAGCCAGAGATGTGCCGTAGTGGGTAAACCTGTCAACTGGGATGCTGGAATCCATGTGGGTACTGGTTCAAGTTCTAGCTGCTCCACTTCCAGTCCAGATCCTTGTTAATGGCTTGAGAAAGCAGTGGAGGATGGCCCAAGTGCTTGGGACCCTGCACCCATGTATGAAATCCAGAAGAAGCTCCTGGCTTGGATAGGCCCAGTTGTGGCTATTTGGGCAGTGAAGCAGCAGATAGATGATCTGTCTTTCCTTCTAACTCTGCCTTTCAAACACATAAATAAATCTTTAAGGCCCAGCGCAATAGCCTAGTGGCTAAATCCTCACCTTGCATGTGTCAGGATCACATGGGCGCCAGTTCGATTCATGTCCTGGCTGCTCTACTTCCCTTCCAGCTCCCTGCTTGTGGCCTGGGAAAGCAGTAGAGGACGGCCCAAAGCTTTGAGACCCTATACCCGGGTGGGAGATCCGGAATAGGCTCTTGGTTCCTGGCTTCAGGTCAGCTCAGCTCTGGCCACTGCGACTACTTGGGGAGTGAACTGGCATATGGAAGATCCTTCTGTCTCTCCTTCTCTCTGTAAATCTGTCTTTTCAATAAATAAATAGAAAAATCTTGTAAAAAAAATAAATAAGTAAGATCAAATCAGCTGAGATCCCCATGACTGAGTATTAACTAGTGGCCTAGTTGATTTCTCTAATATGTGCAGTTACAGAAAAAGCATCATACTCTATGGTTTTGTAATCTGCTTTTCTCATATGTACATATCTTTACATATAAGTAGAGTTCTTCATCATCACTTTTAATAACTAGATGATATTCTAAAGTTATGCCCTGATTTGTCCAACTAGCCATTGATAATGCATTTTTTTCTCCTCTTGTAAAAAAATCCCCCAAAGAATGATCAGGCGATTCTCTTGCCTCAAAAGTAAGTAAGTAAGTAAGTAAGTAAGTAAGTAAATAAATAAATAAATAAATAAAAGCAACTGGCTGCCTGGATGAGAACTGCAGACAACCGTTGGTAAACACGAGTAGCAGTGCTTTTCCACTACTGGTAGTACTAAACCGACGCACTGAACATCACCAAGGGGCCCGGCCGGCAAAAACTAGCTCTTCCTGTAGCATGTGATAAATCCAGGGTGGAATGTGAAGTATACCTCAGTACAGCTCAGGAGAGAGGCTAGAATCGAGAACTGGAGCTGGGACTCAAACTCAGGGGCTTTGATAAGGTGTGTGGGTACCTTAACCACACATTAAACGTGCTCTCCCCTGCACAGGGAACAGAGCTGCGCATGATGGGAGACCAAGAACAGAGCGCTAACCCTGAGTAGACTGTGGAGAGCCGAGGCAGCCACATCACTGAATGGGGCCTTGACTCTGAAGACAGCAAGGAGCTGCAGGGCAGGAACACCAATGCAGTTAATGTGGAGAATGGATAGCAGGCAAGGCGTCACAATCCAGGCACATTGGGCTAGCAACCTTTCCTCAGGAGAGCAGCCATGAGGATGAAGCCCAGGACTGGATTCCAGCAGACATGAGGAGGGACTGGGTTTAGGAAAACCTGAGGGAAGCCCAGCTGCACTCAAGGACCACCGGGAAGAGGAGGGTACACTAAGGAAGCTGAGAGTCCTAGGCAGAAAGGGTTGCGGGTCTGACAAGATTTAGACATGGGGAAGACGATGGATCCAGTTCTGGATGTGTGTGGGCGGCTGCCCACAGCACCCTTATCACCGTTTTGCTCTTTACTGCTTGTGAGATCTTGGAGGTGAGCCGCTGGCCTCCCACGTCTCAGGTCCTGCGTGGTGACTGAGTAAAACAAGCTCCTACATCACCACCTGCTCCAAACGCTTCCCCTCCCCTGAGACAGGGTGGCAGCCTGCTTCTCCATGGGAGGGCAGGGCCAGGCTCCCGATGCTCTGGAGGGAGGGCCTAGAGACCCCAGGGCGGCCGGCTCCCTTCCTACACCCCACAAGCCTTCAGACACTTGTACTCAGCACCACTGCTTTGCTCGCTCTCTTGCTATCTTCCCCAATGAGCGCAGCAAGAACGGGGTTGGAGAGGGAAGCCCAAGCACTTGGCCCATCTTCTGCCCCACTAATCCTAATCCCGTTCTGATACCTTTGTTCTGCCTTAGGCACAGGCGCAGGCAATGACCCAACTCGCTCTTTGATCCCGGTAAAGGAAGGGTTAAGGAATAATAGGACACCCAAGCAGAAAAACCCAGAATGTCAGGCAGCAGCTGACTTGATCGTCCTTCTGTCAACCTGACATAATTTTACTAACTTTTCTCGCTCTTGAAAGAACCAAAAGTCTGCTTGAAAATATACTATTAACCAACGAGAGAAAATGTCAGCGGGGAAGTGAGCGTCAAAAGTACTTTTCTTAGAAAACACACAACCTGCAATCTGGCACCTGCAGGCCTGTGTTCATGTGGTAATTTCCTACCACGTGGCAGCCCTGTGTTTCGGGGTCAGCCTCGTGGGCCAGCCAGGGGCCCCACCCACAAGGTCCTGGCTGTGTCAGGCTGCAAGGGTGAAGGGTGGCGTTACCTGAGTTTTAGCTGCGACCGCACCTCTCCAAACTCCAGCTGCAGTAGCTCGTTGTAACAGGCCGTGATGTTGGGGTTCTCTATGTACCTCTATAAACACAAAGGGGCAATGTATGGATAAGCACAGTAGCATCTGCAAGTAGCTACGTATTCTAATGAAAACAATCCCAAACATACGTCTCAATTTGATAACTAGAATTCAAAAGTACCTTATTACCACCAATGGTGAATAGAAGATGAGAGAAATTTATATAAGCATCCAATTAGCTAAATTAAATAAAGTGTTAGGAATTCTTTTCTCTCAGAACCCAGCTCTAGCTGTTGTAGTCATTTGGGGAGTGAGTCAATGGATAGAAGATTCTCTCTCTCTCTCTCTCTCTGTAACTCTTTCAAATGCAAATAAATCTTTTTAAAAACTAAAAATGAATTTGTTCAGGCACAATCAGTAGACCTGTGCATGCATTTCTGCCTGCCCTGTACCTTACGCAGGCAGCACTTTCCTATGCTGCCTGTGCAGTTCAGGCAACAAGCACATATTTACCTGCTCCAGAGGCCATGGCTCCGCCCACCGTCTCTTAGTGCTGTGGATGCTGGAACGTGTACAATGACCTTCATGGAACAGAAACGTCTCAGAAAAAGCACACGCAGTTCTGAGAAGGGGGAGTCATTCCCTGATTCAATGTTATATTTCATGAAGTCATTGTGCTGTGTCATAATTCTATTTAGATGTAAAGGTCTCTCTTTTTTTTTTTAAAGATTTATTTATTTTTATTGGAAGGGCAGATTTACAGAAAGAAGGAGAGGCAGAGAGAAAGATTTTCTATCCACTGGGTCACTCTCCAAGTGGCTGCAATGGCCAGAGCCGAGCCAATGTGAAGCCAGGAGCCAGGAGCTTCTTCTGGGTCTCCCACATGGGTGCAGGGTCCCAAGGCCTTGGGCCAGCCCCGACTGCTTTCCTAGGCCACGAGCAGGGAACTGGATGGGAAGTGAAGTAGCCAGGATCCAGGGTATGAACTAGTACCCGTCTGGGATCCTGGTGCATGCAAGGTGAGGACTTGGTAGCTACTAGGCTACCATGCTGGGCCCAGGAAAGGCAGATTTACAGAGAGAAAGATCTTTTATCTGCTGGGTTTCACTCTCCAAATGGCCACTGATGAGCTGGTCCAAAACCAGGAGTTTCCTGCAGGTCTCCCACGTGGGTACAGGATTCCAAGAACGTGGGCCATCCTCTGCTGCTTTTCCAGGCCTCAAGCAGGGAGTTGGATGGGAAGCGGAGCAGCCAGGACATAAACCAGCACTGCTATGGGATCCTGGCACTTGCAAGGTAGACGATTAGCCAGTCAAGCCATAGTGCCAGGCCTGATATGAAAGTATTTGGGAATAATTACTCGCCTTTTTTCTTGGCTTTCACCTGCACGACACAAAGGTGATACTCCAGCTGAGGAGGAGGAAGGTGAGGCCTACAAACCCCAGCCAGACTGTTCTGGGACACAGGGCCATGAATGAGCTCCGTCTGCCACCATAGCAAAGGCCTATGTCTGCTCTCCAGACAATGGCTGGGGTCCAGTCTAGAAATCCAGCAACCCAGGAAACTAGCTCCAGGCCCACTTTAAAAGCTGTAGGATCCTAAACAAGGCACTGCCCTCACCCACCCCAACCCAGTGCAGGTCACCATGAGGTCTGCAGGGGTTGAAGGGAGAGAGCAAGGGAGGCAAGGAGTGCTGGCCAGGGCAAGGTGGTCCTCCTGCTCGCTGGCAACACATGACCCTCTCTGCCCCCGGGGGCTGATGGCCAGCTGGCAGGAGAGGGCGGGGCAATGCTGACAGGGAAGGGACAGGAGAAGACCCTGCTGGGCCCAGTGCCTGCGCCAAAAAGCAGATAGGAAGGGGTGGGGGGGACCTTGAGACAGACAGGGTAGGGTGTGTGTTCATCCAGCTGCAAAATACAACTAGCTTTTTCACTGGCCATGAATGTTATTTTTCACTGCAAAGGCAGAAATGTCAGAAAAACAAGTGCAGGTGACCATCCTGCCCTTCAGCATCTTGCTCTGTATGTCTTCTTGCTCGTTATTCTTGCCTTGCATGCAAACATATCATCCCACCTGCCCTGCTAAGTATCTGCTCTGTCCCAAGCAGCCCGCAGGCCGTGGAGGCTGGAAAATCAGGCCAGGACCCTGGCCCAAGGATGCTGAGGTCAGCTGCTACGCCCTCTGCCCAAACAGCAGTGAATTACCTGTAATCTGAGGGAGGCGGAAGTGAGGGGAGGGACAACCCCTTGACATCTGGCAGCCCAACCCCATGCTGAGTGACACAGACTCTGGAGATGTTCCTCTCCAGGGGATCTGATGTGCCCCATGCTGAGAGACAGCAAACCCTACATGCTCCGCTGCCAAGTCCACCTGCAGAGGCAAACAGGTCCTCCACCTAACCTCCCATCCTGAAGCCTGACCCATCCACAAAACAGCGGACTGCCCCTGAACACCAGTGGGCCACTGAAGTATTTATTGGTTTCCAGGCCCAAGCCTTGTCCCCAGCGCTGGCAAGCCTGCGATGGGGCAGAAGCCTTGTCCCTCTGTGTCTAGCTATTCTGCAAAGCCCTTTACGCAGGTCAAGTACTGTGGATAACAGGGCTAGTTAGTACTTGTGATCACTCAGGACTGGCCACCCTTTCTCAGTTTTTAATATTTAAGATACCTGTTTGAAAGGCAGAGCGACAGAGTTGAGAGACAGAAAGCAAGAGAAACAAAATCTTCCACCCAGTGGTTCACTGCCCAGATGGTCACAGCAGTCAGGGCTGAGCCAGGCTGAAATTGGGAACTGGGATTTGGCCATCGTCTGCTTTCCCAGCCATGTTAGGAGAGAGCCGGATTGGAACAGAAGCAGCTGAGGCTCGAACCTCCACTCCACCATGGAAGGCAGACATCACAAACGTCACTTCCCCATCTCCCATTCTGGTCCGTGTTTACCAAGGTGAGCTGCTGTCACCTCCTACTTCCTGAGCCAGGTGTCAGCAGTGCTCACTGTAACTTTTGTGCTTTCTGCAGACACCCTCTTACACGGGCAGGCACTTAGAAGTGGCTTTGCGAAGGCTGCAGGTGACACTGGGTTGGTGGTATGGGCAGAGAAGGGGGGAACAGTGTGGTGTCAGCACTGATGACGTGGAATCTTTTAACAGCACTTCCCGGCACCCGGCACTCATCTGTCCAGCCCTGCTGTGGTGTGCTTTCCAAGACACTGCTAATAAACCCGATGTCCAACGATCCTGGGGGCCTGGCAGGGAGGGGTCCCCTGCAGAAAGCACAGCCACATCAGCCTGGAGAGAGATGATGTAGATCCTTCAGGACTCGCAGCTTCCTTGCCTGGGCCCTACCTACGCGCACCCTCACCAGCTGGCTGGCTGCCGGGTCACTGGAGGTCAGGGGACAGGGGGTATGGGGCAGTGGCTGAGGCTTCACAACTTAAGACAGTTTTGAACTTCAGAGTATTTTGGATTTCAGCTTAGGGATGCTCAGTCAGAAAAGTGTGTATGTGTGTGTGTATTCCCAAATTGGAAAGAGCAGAGCATTTCTGCTCCCAAGCATGGTAGATAAGGAACGCTCCATCGTGTGTTGCGAAGGTCATCAGAAACACAAAGAAAGGCACAGAAACTATAGCAATAATAACCCATATAAAATGGTGTGTTGTATAAAACCTTGTATTCTACCTTATGTGACATTAAAGTCTATTTCTATGTTTTTGTGGTCTGATCTTTTTCCCTATTTCTTTGCTCGCTTATTATTAAGCGCTTACAAATATGATACAATTGGGATTTTAAAATGCAGTCTAACTACCGGAATACAAAAGGAGAATGCAGCCCACTCACACACGCTGGCTTTGATTTCCTCACTCTCACTTGTGGGTTCTACGTGCTGTTTCTTCCTCCCCGAGTTTCCCAGTTTGATTGAGTTGCTCATCTTACCGTCTTTTCAACAGATCTCAAAAACAGACATATATTTCCTTACTGTTATCTGAAACCAAGACAGCAGTTACCTCTCCCGCAGAGTAGGGCCCACTGAACCCTATTCTGCGAATTTCTCATAGGGAGGGACAGGTCAGGGAACTGCTTGCCCTCATGCCACATCTCCTAGCTGAGCCCAGGAAAATCTTCCTGTCCTCCAAGCTCGCAGACACCCATGGCTGGCTTGGACGGTGTCGATGGCATGTATTGAGCTAGTACTAAAATTTCTCCCTGGAGAGGTCCCTTCTGCTCAAACAGTATCATCTGTCTCATTCCGTGTTTCTCCATTTGGCACTGATTTTCCAAGGAGGCAGAGGGATCATACACACTCAGGTACACACCCGTGTGTGCAGAGAGAGGAGGGGAGCCAGGCTACCACGAGGTCGTGGGGGTGCATGGCGGGATCTCCTTCCTTCCGTTCATCTTCTGTCCTCTTGAAGCTGCTGTTCAAGGTCAGTTCTTGTAAGGTTTGCGTTCTCTTCACATGGCTCTTAGGGAGATGTATCTTTGAACTTCATGTACTTTCCAAAAACATGAGTTGTAGCTTGGCTGGGTGTTGACTGGGTGGCAGGCCTTAAGCCCCTCAGTCATCTCACCAGGCGTTCACGGCGATTCCACGTCCACAGCTGGCTTGCACTTCAGACCCTGCTCGGGCGTTCACGTCTTGGTAAAGTATTCACATAAACTCTGTACGGTCACATTTCTGAAGGTTTCTCACGCCGCTCTCCTTGGAAAAGGTGATCGCGCTGAGACGAGGCGCTCGGCTGGTTGTTCCCGGCGCACACTCAACACGCTCCGGTGCCGTCCCCCTGCGGCTGACAAGCACCTGGCACTCTGTCATTCTTGGGAAAGTCACTTTTCTCTGGCTATGTTTAAGATTTTCTTTCACTTTTTTTTCCTGGGGTGTGTCCTCTCTTTTAATGTACTCTTGATTTTTTTTTTTTTGTAATTTTACAACCTGTGGATTAGTCAATCAGCACTTCTGGAAAATTCTCACTCTTCAAATATTTCGTCTACCCCATTCTTCCTCTCCTCCTGGGCCTCCAGTTACTTATACACTAAATCATCACATGTTAGCCTCCACATTTTTTTAACCTCATTATTTCCTGTCTTGTATTTCTGTGCCACATGCTGCATAATTTCTTCTACTAGGGTCTAGGTTTAAAACTGTTTAGTTATTCTGTTTCCATTTATTCAAGTTAAATTGGGTGAAGGGGTCCTTCGCCCGCGGGAGGATATGGACTTTCTTCTGCCAAGCACCTGAGAGACCTACCTCCTTCCCCCAAACCACCTCGAGCCCACGGCTGCCTGCCTTGTGGGGTCCAGCCTGACCCAAGTGTTCACTCCATCCCCAAGGCCTCCTGTGCAGCCAGCTGAGCCAAGTCCTCACAGCCTTTAGGTTAGAAGACATCAACAGACTGGGAAGCACAGGAGCCTATGCCCAGAATTCCTGGTCAGGCTTTAACAATTCCATGCATATGTGCAAGCATTTTCACACACATCCTGTGGTAGGATTTTTAATGTGGGTACCAGTGTGAGAGGTTTTATTACATGTAGATGGCTTTAAAGGTAACTTCTGAGACCAAAAAAAAAAAAAAAAAAAAAAAAAAGTGAACAGTATAAAGACTGTCAATAGGTTAGAAATGTAAACCAGTTATACAGTCCAGGGACAATGTGCTTGCTTCAAATTAATTAAAAACTTTAGCTGGGTATGGAGATGAAATCTCGCCTCACAGAGCTGTCTGTAGTTAACAGAGTGGCACCTACCCTGGTGAAGCCAGCGGCGATCAAGGGCATGACAGACAGCTCCTCCTTATCCGCCCTTGGAGAGAACACAGGGCTGTCAGACACAGCCTCCGCCCACGCCCTCCCCCTGCCCACGCCCCCTCCCCCTCCCCTTGCCCACACCCCTCCCCCTGCCGGGCACAGCCTCCGCCCACGCCCCTCCCCCTGCCCACGCCCCTCCCCCTGCTGGGCACAGCCTCTGCCCACGCCCCCCCCCCGCCCACGCCCCTCCCCCCTGCCCACACCCTCCCCCCCCCCCCCCCCGTCCACGGCCCTCCCCCTACCGGGCACAGCCTCCGCCCACTCCCCTCCCCCTGCCGGCACAGCCTCCACCCACACCCCTCCCCTGCCGCACAGCCTCCACCCACACCCCTCCCCCTGCCGGCACAGCCTCCACCCACACCCCTCCCCCTGCCGGGCACAGCCTCCGCCCACGCCCCTCCCCCCTGCCCACACCCCTCCCCCTGCCCACGCCCCTCCCCCCTGTCCACGCCCCTCCCCCTGCAGGGCACAGCCTCCACCCACGCCCCTCCCCCTGCCCACGCCCCTCCCTCTTCCACACTTCACTTGTCTACATTAAACTTATATAGTGCGTGGTTTTCAGAGTAATTCATCTAAGCACATTATCTAAGTAATTCATCTAAACACATCAATATCTAAATTTAAAGTATAAATTTGAAAATTGTTTTAACTTTTAAAAATATTTTTTTATTGGAAAGGCAGATAATAAAGAGAGAAGGAGATACAGAAACATTTTCCTTTTTTTTAAGATTATTTTTAATGGAAAGGCAGATATACAGAGAGGAGGAGAGATAGAAAGGAACATCTTCCATCTGATGATTCACTCCCCCAGTGAGTGCACATGGGTGCAGATTCCCAAGGCTTTGGGCCGTCTCGACTGCTTTCCCAGGCCACAAGCAGGGAGCTGGATGGGAATAAGAACTGGTGCCCATATGGAATCCCAGTAGATGCATGGTGAGGATTTAGCCACTAGGCTATCTCACCGGGCCCCATAGTTAACTTTTGGTCCATATATGTTACAATACCTGAAATACAGCAACTGCTCCAGTTACTTATACACTAATTCATTTACAGCTGGAATCTAAGAATGTCTGTTTATATTTTCAATATGTATACATTTTAAATTAAATAAAATTCTTTCCTAATTTCTTCTACTCCCAGCTTTTCAAAAGACAAAACAGGCTGGTATCATGGTGAAGCTGGTCAAGACACCTCCTGCCGTGCCAGCATTCCACATGGGCACCAATTTCAGTACCAGCTATTCCACCTCCAATCCAACTCGTGCTACGAGCCTAGGCTCCGGCATCCACCTGGGGGACCTGGAAGAAGCTCCTGCTCCCTGCCCACTTCAGCCTCTGCTGCTATGGCCTCTTGGGGAGTGAACCAGTGGATGCAAGCTCTCTCTCTCCCCCTGTCTCTGCAGTTCTGACTTTCAAATAGATAGATACATACATACATCTTTAACAAACAAAAACAATCTCATCTCTCCTAAAGCTCAAGGGGAAAGTTTAAAGATACAGAAGCATTTCCCATGCCTACACAAATAAGTGAGCTTTCCATGTGAATACCTGCCTCCCTTCCTGCCTTCATTTAAGGATGAAATCTGAGAGTCCCCCTTTGTGCAGAGTGGGAAGGCGCTAAGCAGGTTCCCCTGGGAACCACAGTTTCAGAAGTGCAATTCTTATAATAGTTTATGTGCTTTTTAAAGGGAAAGGCAGTTGAAAATAAAAATTTGGCAACAAGTCAGACATCCCTCTACGAAGATAACTGTAGAAGCAACTTTAGATAAAACAGAACAAAGATGACCAAGTCACACCACCAAGGGACATGCTTGGAACAAAGGCCGCCAAGCAGGCACCTCACTGATACCACAAGCTTAGCACCAGACAGAAGGGGAGAGAAACGTTACCTGCGTACAACGCCAACAATAACCGTGTTTTCTGAGAGTTTTGATGATCTGATAGATCTGGAAAAAATATAAAAAGCAAATATACAGTTTTTGTAGGACAATTAAAGTTGTGGGAGGAGTAGGCAGGGGAGCAACACATCCCTTGACACTGGGCAGTCCCCTCTGTGGCTTGCAGAGCCTCCTCCCTTTGGGGACAAACTCCACCGTGTGAACTGTGGTGCTGGGGCGCTGCAGCTCGCTGCAGGATGCCCTCCCACCTGGCCTGGCCTTTGCTAACCTCAGCTGCTTCAGGTGGAGAACTGCCCCTACTGTGTGCCACAGTCACGGGGCTCTCTGCTGGCACAGGGCCATGCAGGCCCATGTTTACTGCCCTGAGCGGATGGCTGGGAGCCAAGGGGAGAAAGGAGAGTAAGGGCCAGCCTTCACTGTGTTCTAGGCAGCCTGGAGGATGAAGATTCCCAGGCAAAAAGCAGGCTAACTGGACGCTAACAAACAAACAACTCCAGAAGAACTAACAGAAAGAAGAGAACCCAGAGTCAGAAGCAAAGTGGGGAGAGGGGGAGTACAGGAAGGCGTGGAAGACACTGCACCCCCAATCCCCTGCAGGGACAGGGCCAGCTGTCCTCTGGGGAAGCAGCTCCTGACCCTTCAAGGAGTGAGGCTGTAACCAAAGGACCAGAGAGGACGGAAACGAATGCGCCACCATGCAGGGTGCGAGAAGGAAAAGGGAGCGCTCTGAGACCGGAGACAGGAAACCGCTCTAGACTCCTCCTCGGTGGGGGGACAGGGAGGAGATGTCTGCAGAGGACCACAGCCACAGCAGGACCAGGAACCTGGCTGACTGAGAGGAAGACGCCTGGCACTGCAGGGGCCCTGGGTGCACGGCCTGGGCAAGGCACAAGTGGCTGCCCTTCCCACCCCTGGAGAGTGAGGCCGGGATGGACACTGATTGAGAACCACTGTTGAATCTGCCTGGGCAAGGGTCCCTGGCACAGCAGACAACCTTGGGCGGGGTGCATTCCTGGTGACTGCTCTGCATCCGGGCACTAATCCCCAACAGGGAGTAGGAGCCTGGGCTCGCACACGGTGTTTCAGTGACTCTCAGGGGCCGTGGATCTGTTCTTGCGTGCCTGCTCCCCTCACATGATGGAAGCAGCATGCAGCCACCATCTCAGGCCTCATCTTCCACTTTTCAGAAGGAAAACCAAGATCTGAGTGGGGAAATGGCAAGCATGCAACCACAGAGATAGGTGATCCCAGTCCAGTGGGGGTGGGCTACTTCTAACCACAGATACGCCGGCCAGGGGCACCGGGCAGAGGACCCAGTAGACGAAGGCCATGTCCCCTTGGAGTCAAGCACTTAAAAGTTTCTGAAAAGCTAGAGGTGGATTTTTGCCTTAAAATTTTTTTTTTCAGGTGCATAAGATGAGAAAATTGTCTAGAAATGTCAGGAACCTGGGAAGAAAGAAATAACACTCTTGCTTTAGAATTCTTAAAAATTTTGGAGGGGATTACTTGGCACCCTTGGGACACTAGGAAGACTGGTTTTTACAAAGTCAGAAAAAAGATAGGGCATGACCCTGAGGCTGGAGACCAGTGCCAATCTCAAAAATCACACCCCCCACCCGGGCGTATCGTTAGGATCCAGCTTGGCCATGGAGGATAGAAACTCCAGAATAGGGACTCAAACCATTGGTACTTGTCTCAAAGAACATTAAAAATATGCAGAAGCCATCAGTGTACAGCTGCCAAGGCAGAGGACCCGGCCTCTGGTCCCTGGCCCTTCTCTATAGAGGTTTGTGCCTCACGGTCCAAGATAGGTGCTTAGCACCAGCCATAATGTCCCATTCTGGACCGCAGGGAAAGGACTTGCTTTCTTCTGTCAGCGAGGCCTTCCAGAACACACACGTGGCAATTCCACTGTCCAGCTGCAGGAAGTAGGACCATACAACTCATTTTCTAGGCAGCTCTCTGCCCAGCTAAACATCAGAGACCGCGTTGGTACGGAAAGAATAGACACAGGCATTCGGAGCGATGACCGGGCAGGGACAAGTCCTGCTGCGGACGATCATGGCACAGGCCTGCAAAGAAGGGCCACATGAGAAACACACGGAGCCCTCTCTGAGTTGTAAGACTCAGTGCAGTCTTACAACCTCGTTCTTGTGCTTTGCTGGGATTCTCTGCCATGAAGAACGCGGATCTGGAAGGAGCTGGTGCCCTGGGCTTGGTCTCGCTCCTGCACTGTCCAGCCTTCCCCTGTCCCCTGTGACAGCCCTCCCTTCCCGCACAGTGCCCTGATTCTGCCACACAGGGGACTGTCTCCCTGCCTGTTCTGACACTCTTAAACACGTGGCTTCTAAAAGGTTCCTTGGCTTCCTAGGGAAAACAATTTTCTCAGCTGTTTGGGCTAAGCCTTCCCCTCCCTGCTGCCTGGGCGGCTTTTCACTGGCCTCTGCGACCTGCTCCCTCACTGCGCGCAGGCCAAGAATTGCTAGGCTGGCAGAAGGGGCCACAAGTTTCCTCAGCAGCCCTCTGCCAGACCCGCCCCTGGGTCTGGGCAGCAGATCAGCCCAAGAGGCACAGGGCCAGCTCAGAGAATGCTGCCAGCAGGCACGCGTGGCGCTGCCGCCCAGGGTGGGTCCTGACCTGAGACTGAGACCCGACACAGCTTACTGCTTTGGCAACTTGCACTGATCTGATTCCTCAGGCCTCTATCCCTTCTTACCACGTGGTAGGAAAAGCCATGGCTCTGTGCAACCCTCGGCCTGGGTTTCAGAGTAGATGCAGAAAGTAAAGTAGAAGGGAGTAAGTGGGACTGGACTGCAGCACAGCTGGGGGGGGGGGGGGGGTCAGTGTCCTTGGCCAGGCAGAACAAGTGAGCACAGAGCCCCACGGCTTGGCTTCACAGACAGCATGAGCAGGCATGGCTCAAGGAGAGGCCTCTGTCAGTTCTTCTTGTACAATAGAGAACAGGAAATCCTGTTCTGCCCAGCCAGCTCCATTTCTGCCTCTTTGGCTATCTTCTTAAGTTTTCGGTCACGTGGAATCAGGTAGTGCACAAGGTGGCCTCTGGGAGCCTAGCCAGGGGGTGAGGAGCTCAGCTCTTCCTGTTGCTTCTCAGCACCCAAAGGAGCTCCTGCTGTGCTCTGAATGCTCTCCTGCTCAGAACAGGTCAGCCGCCAGCTGGGTGAGTCCAACGTCTGGCTTAGGAGTCGAGGCCTTCATGAGCAGGCTCCTGCCCCCTGCTCCAGGCCCCCAGGGCCAGCAGCCACAGACACCCGGCAGACGCCCTGTCTGTTCCTGTGCACGCCTGCTGCTTCCTCTCACAGGACCCTCTCCATGTTTCACCCTCCATGACTCTACCCAAGCATCTCTGGGGAAGCCCGCACTGGGTCTGACAGCTGGCAGCACCCTGCAGAGCCTCCTCTGAGGGCACTCAGGCCTCCCTGAGCCAGCCCTCCCAGCTTTCGCCATGCTGGGATTTCAGCAGGGTTTCAACTGTGAGGGTTCTTCATCTGTAAATGAGATTAAAGTCCTTACAGAAAAGTACTTCAAAAAGCTTAGGGAAAACGGAAGTTAAAATGTTTGTTTAGATGGTAAAAAAAAAAAAAAAAAAAAAAACTCAGTAAAGTTTTTCCTCATATGCATTTCCCATGAACATTTTGAAAACCCCTAGTCCAAGGCACTTCCTGCTGCCTTCCACGCTCTGCAAGATGTAGCCCTTATCAGGCAACTTGTAGTACTGTGAGAAATGAATTTCTGTTCTCTAAGTTTCTCTAGGTGTTTGGTTACAGGCAGCAAAAACACAAAGACAACCATGAACTAGAGCATCAGTGCCTCACAGGCGAGAACCACACCTCTCGGTCTGCTTTGGCTCCGGTGTCACACACAGTGCCAGGAACTGAGCCGACTTGCCAAGGAGGGTCCCTAACCTTGTGGGCAGTGGAGAGAATGTCTGGCCCATAGCAAAGTCAGTCACGGGGGAGGTAGGGACTTCCACAGGCCCCAGGGGAGACACGGGGGTGTGGCTGCGAGCCTTTCAGGCGGTCTGTGACAGAGGAAAGGGCCTTCCCCGCCCCCAACACCCTCAGAAGGTGCTGCTATGGCAAGAGCGAGGTGGAGGGGAGGGCAGTGCTCTGTCAGGGCAAGCTGAGAGGACAGGCTCAGGTGGGGAACCCCAGAGACTTCCTAACACAGCAGCCCACAGTGGGCGGGCTGGCTCGGCGGGATGATTCTACGGGAGACTACGTGGTAAGGGTCAGAATCAAAAGGAAACTGACCCAGGAAAACACATCAAGACAAGGGCCTGCTCCGGTCCCCTCAGCCCATTCCCACAGGCACGAGGAGCCCACCGCATCCTCAGCTCTCACCTAACACCACAGAGGTGGCATGGTAGAACAGAGCTGGTGGGAAAGATGCGCCTTTGGCCAGGAACACCCTTGGTGGCTGCATGAGCAGCGCTCTGCCATCTGGCGAGAGGGCCACCCCACCTGTTCTACTGCTTTGAGTGTTCCCATTCTGGAGTCACACTTACAGGAGCTCCTGACCAGAGAGCTCAGGATCCTGGCTGGGGGCCAATTCTCCAGCCGTGCTCCATGAGAGAGCAGAGAGAGGACGCCTTGGAGGAAACCTGTTTCTGCCCTCCAAGGCTGGGATTCCGCTTCAGGGTCGGGGACTGGAGCTGACCTAGCACACGAAGGAAAGCTTCCAACACCCAGAGCCTCCCTCCGGCAGGAGGCTGGACAGGGGTGGGCTCCCTTGGCCTGAGAACTGAAGACATACACCTGCTACCTGATGCCTTGCTAAAGGCATGCGCCCAGGCACTCTCTGCTCCCATTCCTTATGTCAACACTGTGGAACCTCGGTCTTCACAGACTGAGAGAAGACTGATTAACTAAAACGTTTACCATCAGGCTCAGTGAAATAAGCCAGTCCCCAAGAGACAAATATCTGTGTTTTCCCTGATCTGTGGTAACGAGCACATAGAGAACAAGAAGTGTAACCTGTGTGAGTAAGACTGACACTTTGAGATCTGATTACTGTTTATAGTCCTTCTCTATACGCTGGAAGAACATTAGGGGTTGGGTTTTTTTTTTTTTCCTATTTTCTAGTTGTTTCATTTTTTTAAAAAAACTTAATGGAATGTTAAGTTTGCGATTGCAAAATGAGCTCAAAGTATGCCATTGCAAAAAAATAAACAAAGACATAAGGAAGGAGGAGGGTGGGTGGGGAACGCGGGCAGAGGGAGGGTGGGAGGGGAAGGATCAGAGCTCCTGAGCGTGTACCGTCAAACGGGTGAAGTTTGTTCACTTTCTAACAGTAAGCTAAAATGAAAGAGGCAAAAATGTTTATGGAGTTTACACAATTTGTGTCCGTTTTTAGCGGTTATGTAATATTGCTGTCTTAATTTAAATACTTCAACTCTGCTCATCTCAAAGTTCACACAAGGCAAGGACTTTATTTACTTTGGGTCTAGAAAAATACTCCTGTAGAGGACTCTGTGAAAATTTGTGCAGTGAATTGTTTATTGAGAATATTTCTCTTGTGTACTATTCCTATCAATGGTATATTTTCTTAAGAAGTGGAGCCAAATTCGGTTATAACTGTTTTAGCACAACAACAACAATAACAACGTGGTGCAGAGTGGAGAGACGGCCTTGTTTTCTTTCTCTGTATATACAAGGCTTTAGCAGAGTCCCTTAAGAAGTCTGCATTTGCACTGTCCAGCTCACACCTGTGGCTAGCTCTGTGCATGGACAAGCCTGGCAAAGAGGCCACGTTTTCCTGCGCACTCATGCTCCTGGCCTGCAGTATTCCTCCCCTTCCTCTGCGTGACAGTCACTGCATGGCCAGGATGGAAGGGATCCTGGAAGGTAACAGAAGCCAGGGGAGGCAGAGGATCACCCAGGGCTGGGTGGCTGGCCGGAGCCAGGGCAGAGACTGGAACCTGGGCCTTCTTCCCCCAACCCTGGCCCAGTGCTCAGGGGCACCAGTCGTTTGCGGACCACCGAGGCGGCATCCATATGGATGTGCGAGCCAGATTCAAGTGGGAGGGGCCCAGCAGCACCTCAGGTGTGCCAGAGCCAGGCCAGAGGGGACACTCTCGGAGGCCAGTCACACCAAGTAAAACTACCTGGTCGGCCAGTACAGGAACAGGCAAGTTCACGTGCACTCACCAAGGGCCCCACAGTCTTCTGTGATCACTTGCTTATCATGGCCGTTTTTAACCCTTGTTATATTGCCTTACATCCTTTCTGCCTCTTCAAAAAAAAACAAGATTTTAAATATCCTTAACATTATGACTCTAAGGTTTTATGTTATATTAAACTTATGTCTTGTCTTCCCCCAAATAAAGTTTTATATTAGATAAAATGGGTATTTTACTTTGCCTTAGGCAGTAGCAAATCACTTTCTTATATTAAAAATTCCTTTTCTTAGTTTTGTTGACCATGCAGAATTCTCTTATGACAATGAAGTTTTGCAAATAATAAGGCACATTTGTCTAAAATTAGAAGACAATGCTCAACATTTTTGATAATTTTAAAAACCAATCTGGACGATTATAAGAATTCTGGTAATTCAGGTAATAACTTGTGGTACACTGCACATTGGGTTTCATCTTCATCTTCCTAGTTCTCGTGTATATCTTCTTACTGTATTGAGCTACACCAAGCAAAGCAGAGCAAGGGAAAATAAAAGAGATAAAGCTTGGTTCCGGAAATAATTAGACTCTAGGGTCTTGCTTGTTGACATGCAAGTGAGATAACTTGAAAGTAAATCAGCCGGTTCCCCAGCTGTGCTCTCAGGTAAGCTGTGTCTCTGGCTTACCTGCACAGTGCCTCTGCATCCAGCTGCCGCGGGTTCCTGTGGTCTATGATGATGATATCATGATGCTTGTCCAGGAAACAGGCCAGGACGGCCTGGGCCTCCTTAGTGACCGTACATTTAAACCCTGCTTTTTCACACGCCCTGCAGAATCCATTACACTGGCTATCTTCTTTGGTAAACACTAAAAGTACCTGAATAATTAAAAAGAGCATGGACACTTCTTAAAAACACACACATGTCAGACATGTCGTTTGTTAATAAGCAGCAGAAAGCTCGAAGCGGGGACTCAGCGGTGAACACCGTAGCATATCCCTGGAAATGTTCCTCCTGCACGCCACTTGGTGACGTCAGCCCTCAGCCCTCCGACCGGGCCATTTCCTATCTGCTCTTAGCCTGCAAGGTCAGGCACTTTGGTCACACACTTACTTGTTCTGCTCATAAAGCTATTGGCACAACTCAACAAAGACTTGATAAAGCATGTTATCTTGAAATTAAATCAATTAAAACACAGAAACACAAACTTCATTAGGTGAGCCTCGTAGCAAACACAAATATTTCAGGGAAACTATTAGAATATTTTACCTTTAAGAAACATACTTATGTGGTTTTTTTTTCCTGAGATTTATTGTATTTTATTTGAAAGACTGAAAGTGGGAGAGACAGGGATTTTTCAATAGTTAGGGATGGACCAGGTGGAGGCCAGAAGCCAAGAACTTCTTCCAGGTCTCCAACATAGGTGCAGGGGCCCAAGCACTTGGGTCATGTTTAGCTGCTTTCCCATGCCCATTAGCAGGGGGCTGGGTTGGAAGTGAACATCTGGGACTTGAACTAGCAGCCAATAGTAAATACATTTTAAATAGAAAGTTAAACTTGTAACTTTTAGCAAGGGGATATGCTACTTATTTTTCATTTAGTTATGTTTTAACTCAAGATTTTATTTAATTCTGGGGCTGGTGCTATAGCTTCGTATGCTAATCTTCTGCCTGCATCCTTGATGTCCCACATGAATGCCAGTTTGAGCCTTGGTTGCTGCACTTCTAATTTGTCTCTTTGCCTATGGCCTGGAAAAGCCGCGGAAGACGGCCCAAGCGCTAGGGCCCCTGCACTCACATGAGAGACCTGGAGGAAGCTCCTGACTCCTGGCTTTGGATTGGCTCAGTTCCTGCCGTTGCGGCCATATGGGGAGTGAACCAGCGGATGGAAGATCTTTCTCTGCTGCTGCTGCTCCTCTGTAATTCTGCCTCTCAAATAAAAATAAATCAATCTAAAAAATAAAAAAGAAGCCATTGAGGTTTTTGTTTTAAGGATTGTATTCAATTTTCCCAAGTTAAATTACTCTTTGATTCTGAGAGGTAAGACTTAAAACAAGATGAAAATGTTAACTTTAAAACCTCCTGGTTAGTGACATGGGAACAGCAGCCATGTGGGAGGCAGCACCTGTTGCCCTGCCTGGATCATGGGATGGCGGTGGCCTGCAGGAGATGGAGCCATCTGTGTGGGACGGAGTCACAGAAACCCTCCTCCTCTGACTCTCCCTGCCTGCGCAAACACCATGAATGCCAAGACCTAACAACACACATTTCTGTTCATTTATTTAAAAGTAACAGTGATAATCTGTATGGAAGAAATCCCAAAAAAACTTAAGTAAATTTTTTAAAGATTTTTTTTTTAATTGGAAAGTCAGATACACAGAGAGAAGAAGAGAGAGAGAGAGGAAGATCTTTCATCTGCTCATTCATTCCCCAAGTGGCCACATTGTCTAGAGCTGCGCCAATCCCAAGCCAGGAGTCTCTTCCGGGTCTCCCATGTGGGTTCAGGGTCCCAAGACTTTGGGCTGTCCTCGACTGCTTTCCCAGGCCACAAGCAGGGAGCTGGATGGGAAGCAGGGCTGTTGGGATATGAACTGGCACCCATATGGGATCCCAGCATATGCAAAGCAAGGACTTTAGCCACTACACTACTGCACTATGCCCAACTTGGGTAAATTTCAATGGGCTGTTCTCTGTTCCCTATTTGGGGGACAGATAAGAGATATTTTCTGTCTGATGGAACTGATCTAGCAATGTGAAATATAAAATGCTTTATGTTTTAAGTAGGAAAATTTAAAACCTATATAATAGTTGTAAAGACTGCCTTTATTTGTCTTTTTCCACACCCATGCCTGCATACAAACACTAACATGGTAATTTTTTTTTTTTTTTATGGCCAACCCAATCTAATGCAGGCTGCCACACATCTTTACCTCTGAGAAATGCTTCCATGTACACTGCCAAGAAAAAGATACTCTTCTTGGTGTTTGGTGCAGAGGTGAAGACCCCTCTTAAGATGCCCACAGCCCATCACAGAGAGTCCTTAAGTTACAGTACTTGCCCTGCTCCCAATTCTAGCTTCCTGTTAATGTGCACGCGGGGACACAGCAGGTGATGGCTCAGGGAAGCTGGTCCCTGCCGCACACAGGAAAGACCCTGTTTGAGTTTCTGGCTGCTTGTGGCTTTGCTCTGCTCCATCCCTGGCTATAGCGGGCATTTGTGGCGTAAACCAGCACATAGAAGGTCTCTTTTTCTGACTTGTCTATAGAATTTTAAATACATAAATATCTTTATTCTTCTAATTTTGCGATTAAATTTAGGAAATTTAACACGTGCCCAGTATTATCATCTGAGATAGATTATCTTCAACAGGCTACTTGGGATCCACACCCACTCTTTTTAAAGAAAATCAAATGTGGTAATAACAGTGTGACTCATTAATTACCTGAAGCTGATCTTGATGAAATCTCATGGGACCAAACTGCACATCAGCTATTGCTACCTGTAAGAAAGAGACTTGCTTTACAAAAATAATAAAACACACACGCACACACAGTTTGCTTTGCTTCTCGCTTAATCAGTCCCATAGGTAAAAGTGAAATTTCTGCCCTAGAGAAAAATTACATGCAGCAAATAATAGAAAAAAAAAATTAAGGAGTCCAGGCACGCCTCCTAATCTTTGAAAGAAGTCAGAGCTGGAATGGAGACATCAAATGAAACTCATCCCCACACTGTCTTTTACTAGTAGGATGTAGCTTTAAGTGAAACACGTCTTCATGGTTACAATCACAATCAAACTAGATTACAACATCAAGGGTCTCCAAATAGCAGACCCTGAATATGGGTTCCCTCCTCGCCTCTTTCCATCCTTCTGTTGGATGATGCAATCTTGTTTCCGGAATGGCACACGGATAATACAACGCAGCAGTCAGAGCTGCAGGTGTCAGCAGCCGAGAACCCACCCAGGAGACAGCACAGCAGCACTCGTTAGCACCAGCCCAGCCACTCATCAGCACCAGCCCAGCCACTCATCAACACGACTCGCCAGAGAAGAGCAGTTTCCCGTGCCTTGGCCACTGCGATGAGGGCTGAACAACGGACGTTTCACTGAGTCCTCACAACGATGGGAGAACGTAGGGCAGGAAACAGAGGTCCCTGTTTGGGACCGCCTGACAGCACAAGGAACTGCAGACACTTTAGCTCCACAACTGTGCTAACCCATGCCTGACGGTGGCTCCAACCCAGCTTCCTGTGGATGGAAGAAGGTGTACTCTCTCTCCTCTCTCTCCCTCTCGGTTCTTACTCTTTCTCTCTCTCCATAGCTCCATCTTTCAGATAATCCTTGTAGGAAAGAAACCCAGACATTGACTTTGACTGCCTCTCCAGCTGTGAGGATGGCCCATGGTTCTCCATCCCACGTGGAAGGTGGTTCTGTGGTTGCTCAGCCTCCCTCTTCCCTCACTAGCATCATTCTTCAGTCATGGTCTGAAATAAACTAAGCCAGTGGCCCATGAGTCGTCGGTACCAGCTTTTCCTAGCTAAAAAAAACTCGTGGCTTCCCAGCCTTTGAGCAGTTCTGGTCAGCATGTGTTTAGTACAGAGCACTGGTCTTGCAGGAAGTTGTAGGGGCTTCAGTGGGGGTCTGAGTGAGGAACCAGACCATCACCAAGGGGCCAGGGTGGGAAATCTGCCACACACGGGGTTAAGCACAAGGTGCATCTTTTCCTTTGAGGAGCAGTCCATCTCCATCATGAGAGGTCGTCACCGGGGGTTGGAGTTAATTGCCACCTATTCCCTCCTTAGGACTCTCTGCACTGCACAGACCAGCCCAAAACGGTCAAGATGATGACTCAGGTACTCCAGCCCTTCCACCAACATGGGAAACCTGAGTGGAGTTCCAGGCTTCAGGTGGAATGCTGGCTGCTGCACTCATTTGGGAAATAAACCAGCGGTACAACCTCTCCCTCATTTGCAAATAAAACATGAAAACTAAAACTTAAAAGACAGAAGCGGCGGGAGGGACCAAACCTTTGGGCCCAGCACAGTGGCCTCAATTGGCTAATCCTCCCCCTTTAAGCACCTGGAACCCATATGGGTACCTATTTGTGTCCCAGCTGCTCCACTTCCCATCCAGTCCCTGCTTGTGCCCTGGGAAAGCAGTCCAGGACGGCCCAAAGCCTTGGGACCTTGCACCTGTGTGGGAGACCTAGCAGAAGCTCCTGGCTTTGGATCAGCTCAGCTCTGGCTGTTGCGACCACTTGGGGAGTGAACCAGCAGATGGAAGATCTTCCTCTCTGTCTCTCCTTCCCTCTGTAAATGTGCCTTTCCAATAAAAAACATCTTACAAAGAAAAGTCCTCATCTGATGGTTTCATGGGTGAATTAGACCAAACATTTAGAAAAGAACTAACACCAATCCTTCCCAAACTTTTCCAGTTAAGAAAGGAATACATCCTATCTGAGTCTAGTAAGCCCATATTTCCATAACAAGACAAAAAGCAAAACAGAAACTGCCAGAAAACTATGATCCATGCCCTTTATGAACACTGAGCAAAAGCCCTCAACACTGCCAGATGGAATTCAGCAAATTGGATTTTCCTAATAGCAGGCTTAGGAGGTAATTCAGCCAGGGAAGTCAAACTTCTACAAGGAAAACTACAACACACTGCAGAGAGAAATTAAAGATTCCATCTTCACAGACTGAGGTTATATCCTGGAACATCAAATGTCTTTCCATCTGTTCAAACCTTATTTTTGGGGGGAACATTTTTATATCTGTCCTCAAATAGCCTTTATTAGGTTTAGGCTTTGTTTGTTTGTTTGCTTCTGTCTTCATCTCCCCCCACCCTTTAGAAGTAGGGTGGTGCTAGCCTGTTCCCTAAGGCCTTGACCTACCTGTTCCCACACCTACAATGGACAAACAGGCCAGGACAGTCTGTAGATGAACTCTCTGAACAAACCTCAGTTCTTCACATGTAAAATCCATTCCTAGCACTTCTCCTGCTGTAACCAACCCGTTTTACAAAAAGGAGGAAGCTGAGGGGGCCATGATGGTGGTTAAACAGGCTAATCCTCCAAGTACAAGTGCCAGCATTCCATATGGATGCTGGCTCATGCCCTGGCAGCTCCATTTCCCATCCAGCTCCCTGCCTGTGGCCTGGGAAAGCAGAGGAGGATGGTCCAGGTCCTTGGGACCCTGCACTCATGTGGCAGATCCACAAGAAGCTCCTGGCTCCATATTGACTCAGCTCTTGCTGTTGTGGCTACTGGGGGAGTGAACCAGAGGATGCTGGTTCTAATCCCAGCAGCTCCACTTCCCATCCTGCTCCCTGCTTGTGGCCTGGGAAAGCAGTTGAGGATGGCCCAGAACCTTGGGACCCTGCACCTGCGTGGGAGACCTGGAAGAGGTTCCTGGTTCCTGGCTTTGGATCGGCACAGCACCGGCTGTTCGGTCACTTGGGGAGTGAACCATCGGACAGAAGATTTTTCTCTCTGTCTCTCCTCCTCTCTGTATATTTGCCTTTCCAATAAAAATAAATAAATCTTAAAAATAAATAATTTTCGAGAGCAAATTTGCAAATAACAAACTTTGTGATCTCAAACTGTTAAAGTAACTCAACACTGCACTTAGCTGAAGACATGAAGAAGCTGCGTGTTCATTTTTGAAAGATGTTTAGGACTGTGAGTGTTGCCACTTTAATTATAGCGGTATCAGTATCGTTTAGAAATGGTAATATTTCAACAACTCCACTCACCCATGAGCACTGATTTGCTCAACCTGAATGCATTTAGACTGACATCCTGTCTGCAGGGTACATCCGGCTCTCCGGGCCTCGCTGCAGAGGAGTCCCCGCACAGCCGGACAGCTACTCGCCACCACCACCCCAAATAACCACGACCAGGAAATCTGATGACATTACTCAGTGGGCGGACGTCAGCAGCCAGCCCTCAAAGAGTAAACAACTTGCCGGAGGCTCTGCATAAGGAGACTGGAACTAATGGAATTTGTGCATCCATCCTTTATTTGTGCATGAAAATCAAACTGACCCAATGCTTCGGTCACAGCCCTCTTAATTCATTTCCCACATTAATATTTGAAAAAGGAATCAACATTTTTAAATCAAGATTAAGAAGATAGCTTGGATTTAATCTTCCGACTTCAAAAGCACCTGACATTTTCAGATAATATATAAAGTGTCAATATTTTCAGGGGTTGATATCAGAAATTACACAAACTGCTAAGTTCAACCTTTTGGATTTTAAGTGTGTATATATTTTCTAAGACTTATTGCTTAGGAAAAAAACCGTAAAATTAGGGCATCAGTGAATTAGAATACTGAACTGCATTAAGTATGTGTTTGGGTAAATACAGAAATACAAAGTTATCACTGGAAGCTGTGATAAATCACAAGGTTTCTTCTGAAAGCAGCACTTGGATGGGACGCCACAAGGCAGCTGCTGTGAGCGACTCACAGCTCAAAGTGGGGAGACCAGGTGGGGAGCGCAGTTTCAACCCAACAAACAGCTCTGCTCCTCAGAGCACTCCCCAGCTCTGCTCCGCATGGGTTCCTTGTTTTCCTCCCTAGCCCCAGTCACCACTTGATATGCTACATGTCTTACTACGTATCTCCTTTGATGTTTCTCTTACTGGAATATAAAAATGCTATGATGATAGGGGTTTATCTATTTTCTTCATTGCTACATTCCCAACACCTAAAAATAGGACCTGGCACACAGCACGCTTTCAAACAATGTCTCTGAGTGAACATTCAGCAGCCAATCCTCTTGAACAAAATCATCTCTCTTAAGATAACATTCACACCAGCTTGTTACATGTCAGTATGTCACATGGCATCTCTGTCCTAGGTAATTTCACATATACCTATTTTCACTAAAAACAGAAACAATCTGAAGAATAAGTAATTGAAACCACAAAGGAATCCAGTGAACTACACCCTTTTTCCTACACTGCCTTTATTAGAAACAAAGTTATACTGGGGGTCAGCTAACATTCATTGCATACAAACCCAGGAGGAGTTGCCATAGTTGTAGACATCATGGAGTACACATCTCCATGTCAGGACGCAGGTGCCGTGCTAAACACATGGAATACAAGGCCAAGTACCCAACTTGTCTTTGGGTAGCAGTTGGGGGAAATGTAAGTAATGACAACTCGATGCACTCAGTGTACCAAGCGTGTGCTGTGTGCTAAAGTCTTTGCTTCAAATCCTATTTCAGTTCAGTTTGGTGCTTACCGCTTACTTTGTGAACAAGGTGAGATCACTAACCCAGTTTAATTGATGAGAGAGCGGAAGCTCAGAGCAACTTGTCAAACGCTAGGCTGCAGCAATCACAGGAACAGGACACAGCTCCATGGGAATGGAATTCCATGGGCTGCACAAGCCCCTGACCTGGCTCCCCTGAAACGGAAAGGCAACATCCCCCACTACCTGACAATCTTTCCTGAGCTCCTCGTCGCTGCTGAACGGATTCCCAGCAGAGA